TGTATAGCAATGAAATTCGGCACAAACAAGTTTTATAGGAACCTAAATTTCACTATAAAATTTTATGAGAATTGGTCCATAATTGACCCCACCATAAATGCTCTAGAATTGAAATACGTAGCAGATGAAGTTTATAATACCTACTACTGATATTACAATCACTTAATTTCTCCAAAAAATTAAACCTCACAAAATCGCAATAACCACATAAAATTATTACTTACTTAGACTTTTTAAAGCACCAGCTAATTTATTTTATTAGAAAGTAATTATATTAAAACAGGTAACATTTTCATAAATTTTGTTGATATCATTAAACCAACAACATATAGAAATGATCTGTATACTAACTTATATTATCTAAAATTTGCACCTCTTTTACTTTACCTTAAAAGACATACATACTCAAATAAGCAAAATGTACAGCAAATTTTGAGTTAATAATAATTACCAAATAAATAGTATTATTTTAAAGCAGCTTTTAATCGCTAAAAATATTTAATTTTTTTCTTTTATCTTTAAACTTTGTAGTCCTTTTAAAAAGACAGAGTTATCCCCAGTGATCCCTATATGTATCGATTTGTTCAAGTGTAAACACCCAGCAAAAACTCGGTAATGGGTTGTACTTGCATAACCACTCACTTTTCAATGACTATGATTTAACGTCTGCATTACTTAGAAGTACTATATAGTGACTTCCTTTTAATCTGATATAGAAGTACTTAATTTTCGGCTTTGTCGTTTTGTTAGAACATTTTATTTAATTGCGTGTTAGGAATTGTGTTTTACAAAAAAGTTTGTTGAAACATACATACATACATACATACATACATACATACATACATACATACATACATACATACATACATACATACATACATACATACATACATACATACATACATACATACATACATACATACATACATACATACATACATACATACATACATACATACATGTGTGAATTTTCATAATTCCAACATATTTTTGAATAAATTATAATTAATGTAAAAGACAAATTTAGTATTTTAACCAGCTGACAACACACTCAGTTAAATTCACTTAATATAATAAATTTATATTCTTGTTTACACATTCAATATTTAGTTATTTAATTATTGAATTGAATTTAAATGTCAGTCTAAGCACCACTTTTAATATAACACATTTGAATAAAACTCATGAGTTTTGCTCAACAATAACCAACAATTTATTCATTATATTTTATGATCAATGATAATAATTGTGAAAATTAAAGAAACACTACAAGCTCTAATTAGTTTTGTTCCTAATTTAAGGGCATATTCATACAGCATTCTACTTAAAATATCACATTAATTTATGGTTTTATAACAATCCTAAAAAGGAAAATCACTTTTCAATGTTTAACGTCCACTATGGTCATATATTCATCGATGTAAGCAAACATCAAAGGTCATGAATATAGAATTACGAAAATGCGGGTTAATAGAATTAAAGATCCACAAATTATAGAAAAAAATTTAATTACAATCAAAACATTAACACGAGTTCAACTAAAAATGAACTACAAATACAACTGCATCTTTCTTTTATTACAAGTGCCACTTCTTGTAAGTTTCATTTATAGATATTATGTGTAATATTTATGTACATATGTATGTACGTTAATTTTCTTATTCTATCCAAAAAAATATATACAAACAAACACTCATTCTTTCCTATTTAATAATTAAATAATAATTCCACAAATGAGGGTATGAGTGTTATTGGGAACTAAATATTCTTCATTAAAAATACACAAATGTACATAAATACTAGGGTGATCGATTATTCGACATTTTCCAAAAACCGGTTTTCGAATAGTTCGAATAGTTGACATTTTAAAAAAACCGGTTGATATTTTTCAAATTTAGAAAAAACCGGTTAACCGGTTTTTCATTATAAATAAAAAAATATATTTTAATTTGAAAAACTTAATGTTAATGTTTAAATTTGATTAATAAAACATGGCCCGAAATGATTTTTAACAGTTTAAAAGATTATAACTTAAGATCTAGTCGTCTGATTTACATTATTTCTTTAATATAAAAAAATTAGGAAAAAAGTGGGACACTTCTGTTAAACATAAGGTACTATGTAATCCTAGCTATTTTAAAAGCCCTGTTTAGGATATTTTATGGGCATTCCAACACTTCCATAAAATTTCAGCCGTAAATTAATTATTGTAATTGGAATATAATCTTAAAATTGATAAAATTTTATCAAATAGTTATTAATTTTACAAATAAATTTTTTTAATTAGGAAAATCAAAAAAGTTTAACCAAAGGAGCTGTAGAAAAATATACGCTAGTTACTCGACTCGAATATTTTTAAAATTTAGACGGGCTGTATTATTATTTACTTAAAAATTTCATTTAAATAATCTTTGAATACAATGCAAATAAAGGTATTCGAAACCGGTTTTTAAAAAGTGAAAAAACCGGGTTATTCGATATTCGAAAAATCAACATTAAGAAAAAACCGAGACTGGTAAAGCAGAAAAAACCGGTTTTAAAACCGGTTGAAAAATCGATTCGATCACCCTAATAAATACATACATATGTAGTATATATGTATAAATGAAAGTGAGAATGTGGAAACCAGAGACCTGTTGCTGACGTTGGTTGCCACATGACCCCAAACATTTTACGCTGTGCAAGATAATTTGAAGGAATGTGTTTGTGGCGGAGCTGTTAAGTTGTACCATGTGTGATAATTGTAATCCATAAGGCACTAACGCCACACATTTGTAAACGAAATAGGAAATAAACGCATACTGCCGAAGGAATTTTGCAGGTATTTGAAAGAATTTTAACATCCATATTCATAAATGCTGAATAAAGTTGTTGATGGTTTATTGTAGGAATTTTGTATCGAAAATGCGTGTAATAAAATAAATAAAAATAAACTATTAATTTCTTTATGAATATGGGGGTAAGTATTTTAACGCTTGTATTTATAAAAAATCTTATTTTGCTTTTAATGCACACAATAGTTTAAGCACAGTTTAGCCTTAAAAACCATTCATAAAATTCTGATATTCATAAAAATATAATAAACCTATAATAACTATTGTGCAGTTTTATGTCTAACTTGGCAGCACTGTATAATTTGGCTGTCATTTTATGTGTTAGTGTTGCGTACATTTAGGATAAAATATTCGTTGATTCGGTCTTCTTAATTTTTGTTTATAATAGATTTTTCACAATAAAAACGAACTTTTTACCCCCGTTAACACCAACTCCGGTTATCGTTTAACCGGTAGATATTCTGCCGGTTAAAATAATTTTTGTATGAAAACTGTCAATTTAACCTTATGATAAAATATAACCAGACATTGAGATAATGGGGGTAAGAAAAATAAATACATATGGGAAATTTTATGTCAAGTGACCCAACTCAAAAAATCGATTTCGACGAAATTTGCACTAAAGTTATTACTATTGGATAGTATGTCAGACACAAATTTTCAGCTCTATCGGTCAAGAACTGCCAGACTTAGAGGGGGTCAAAATTGGACATTTTGGTCATACAGGGTTTTATTCAAATTAGTGTAACTTTTCACCTATTGGTCCCAGCAAAAATTGTCCAAACTGAGTACACAGGGTTAACGCTGTCGACCTAAAATTACCGAAAAAAGCTTTATCTGAGAAAAAAATTGTTAAAAATCAACTTATAATTGGACTAAAGAAGGCCTATAGTAAAAGTCTTATATTTGTTAATGGTTTAGTGAAGGTGTTTTAAGCTTTTTGACGTTTATGAATACGATTTTACTGAATTTTGCCTAAAATTGTTTAATAAACTTAAAATAAGCTTTTATAAATACAACCGTAAATCTTTAAACGGGATGGGAAAGCATTTATGAACAAAATGCATTTTTTTTGGAAAAATTAAAGAAGAAATTAAACAATTCTTAAATGTAAATCTATAGTAAAAGTTATATAAGATTTGGCCCAGACGAATGTAGCACTCTTACTTGTTTAAATTTAATTTTAATGACGACCTTTTGTTCTGTTACTTGTTTAGAAATATATTTATATTGTTCTATATTACAGAAAATTTAAAAAGTCGCCGCATGACCCTGCATGTTAAATATCAACTATAAATCTGCACTTATTTCTTAAAGAATAGTTGTACTTTCTGTCCCAAAAACATTAATGACATTATTCAAACCAATTCAGTGGATCTATTTACGGTCAACATTTTATGATTCTACGTTCAACCGTTTGGTCTGTGCGATAATGAATCGGTCATTGTAACGCTACCTTAACGCAAACGGTCCTTCCGTAAACTTGAATTGTGCAATACATACATACATACATACATGTTTTCATTCTTTAAGTTTCTGACACTTACAACAATATTGAACTAAATTAAAAGCATTTAAATATTTACATCTCAGAGAGATCCCAAGAAATTATCGTGTAAATCTAAGATATACATATGTATATTAAAAAAAGTAGCCAGCAAATGAAGAAACAATGTGTTAAGTTAAGCGTATGTCAAATATTTTCTTATTTGAAGTGACACATTACGAGTGTTTCATCTCATATAAAATGTATCTTTACTTTTTCATGCTGCCGCGTTCCGAGCGAACAACGGTTGTGAAGAATAAAGTAAACGTTTGAAATTCTTTTTCACACATTTCTGGTAGTTGATTAGTTTTGTAGTTAGTTGTCTTTGTGGTTGTGTTTTTTTGTTTGTTTTGAACACAATTTGTTTAAAATTTTCGCTCTGCATTTGATTAAGTAGTCTCATGCGTTTTGCTTTAATTATATTAAGTATTTCCGCTGAATTTTTTTCTTTTTGATAAGTTGTAAAATGAAAATGCTCTTTCACTTTTTGTATTTCATTTAATTTGTTTGTTTATAATAAATATTATTTTTATTATTATTATTATATATGTACATTATAATATTTTTCGTAATCTAACGCATTTGTTTTTTTTTTTTAATTGTTGGTATTATATTATCAATTATTTTTATGTATTTTTTATTAAAATTAATAAATATAAACACTTAAGTAACTAAAAATTTATTTAAACTACATTCATAATTATTTTCTACATATTATACAATTACAGTATCACTTAAATTTTTTTATTTTATTTTTCAATTTTGTTTTTAATCCAAATAAAAAATTGAGAGATTGATTGATTTTCTTGGCAATTTGTGATAATTTATAAAATGTTCGCTTAAATATCAGTTTCAACATCGGTATTTTGAAAAATTACTTATTAGACTATTGCATAGTTTTTCAATCCGAAAATATTTTGGTAAATCGTTAAATCTATTGAACCCAAACTTGTGAAAGGTATATCCTGCAGTTTGCAACATAATATGTATGTAAATATAATATGTATGTAAAATTGATAATTTTTCTTAAAACTGTTGATAAACTAAAAATAGTTTTAATAAGGGGAAAAACTTACACACTTGGTCAAATAGTATCACTTTTAAAAAATCAAAGTACGCAAATTGTATCGCGAGATTTTCAAAGTAAATACGCTGAAGAACGGAAATATGAAAATGGCTCCGTATACTGTGCCAAAAATTTAAATAATCTAAGAAAAAATTTCTTTAAAAAAACCATAATTAATGGAAAGAATATTATTAAGGCTGCGCCGTGTTTCATGTATGGCATGTACATAAATATGTACGAAAAATATGTTTTACTATTGTATTAAATATACAATAGATATACGACTTCATATACATATATGTACATTAAATAAACTTTTAATCGTTTAAAACCCGAAGAACAGCTTTAATAAGAAAGTCATGCAGGAATACCTCTCAATCGATACGTATGTATGTATAAATGTACTGAACACGAGAAACACGATCTGATTGTGGAAAAAGTAATTGCATAATTTCTTTACAGTATCTTTGTTCCACAAAGTGATTTTTAGTGGGTTTAAGAGGTATATTATTTTAGCTTTATATCGATATAGGTGTCTAAATTAAGTCAAGATTACACAGAAAAATATTTGAAAAATTGTTAGGGATTTGGTTTGGTCAATTTTGGAATTTTTTTAGATTTTGAGGACCACAAAATAACGGAATTTTTTTGAAAAGATTGCAAACAATTTTTTAACATGTTGTACTGAGATCAAGATTTTCAATCGCTGGTAGGGAACAGATGCCCTTTTCCAAAATTTTTTTTATTTTCTCGTATTTAGTAGATTAATATGCATCCTAGAAAGAATGACATCCCAATGTGCATATTGCTCATTTACTACAAGACTTAAATTTTACTAAAAAAATCATTTTGAGTAAAACAGTATGAACAGTTGTGTCCCCTTACTTGCCAAGTTTCCAGGAGACAACGAAATTGAGAAATTAAAATTGTTTTCTCTTTGGCGGAACTTGCAGGTTTTAGGCAGGGCTGTCAGATGTGGCGTTTTCTGGCCAAACGGGGCGATTTTTTAAAGTGTTTGGCGACGAAAAATTATATTCGACGATATGCGATTTTTTAGTGATAAACTAATGAGTTGGCTAATTGTTTGGCTTTTTAAAATCAATTATTCTAAAAGTTCTTAATATATTTACACACAAAGATGTATAAAATGATAGTACTGATTTTAAAAATTTATAAAAATGTATTTTAAATCAATCAAATGATTATCGGAATTGGAAAATAATACACAAATTCATTGGTCTCATAAAATCCAATGTCATAATGTTTTATTCGATAAAAAAAATTTATTTTATTTCGAACAAAAAACCAATTAAATTGGACTTCGTAAGACCAATGTATTTTGTTGTCGTTTTTAAAACCACTCCCAACATTGATTAGGTTCTATGATAACCACGATTCTCATTTCAATCTTTCTTTAAAATTAATGACTCCAAGCCACATTTCGAAATAATAACCCAGCAAATAGATTATTAATATTATTTATGTCAAATTAGATGTATTTCATAAAAATTACTTCTTGAGAATGACCTCGGATATAGTGAATTTGTAATGAAATAAAAGGGACATCCCTCCTATGACAAGTCTGTGTTAAAATCATCAAATGGCCTGTTCTGCTGAAACGAGATTTAATAGTGGAAATAATATTCGTGGAACATCGTTTCTGAAAATGGGTATAAAAATGTCAGGACTATAATTTGTTTCATTAAACGTATTCATAAAAAATACAATAAAATATTTGTATATTATAAATATTTATAGGGGAATTGAGTTAAAAAGTCAAAAAAATTATTTTAATTTAGTTCTTCATCAATTGAAATTGATTTGGCAAATTTGGCAGGTGTTAATATGTTATACTAAATTTGTATTTATTAAATATACCTACGTGCAAACAAGGGTTTTAGTTTAGACGTTCACAACAAAAATCTATATGATTGACTTTAATATAACACATTTTCTAGTACTCAGATCAAAATACTCGAATTTTGGTTTATATCAGTCTTGTAAATGAGCGATATGTTCACAAACACAATTCTTTAGTTTATTGAATTAGAAAGTAAACACTGCAGATTTCTAATATTCAGACACCGACCTTTGTACTTGTCAATTTTCTATTAAAATTGTTTCTAATTAAACTCAGTTTGTTATGGAAGCCACTACGGAAAATGATTTTTGATCTTTTTGGCGTATGCAACAATATACACATATTGTTCTTAATATACACATAATTCATGGGAATATCGAACTGAATTGAACAATTTCCCAAAAATGTAAACTTTTATATATGAATATATACCTACATAATTTATAAATGTTATCTCGTAGGTATACATATGTATATATCTCTGAATATTAAAAGGATATTTATTTTATTTTTATTATAATTAAGCACATTTTAATGCCAAATTTAGCTCGGTTATAAAAATTGACCTTTTCAGCGAAAATCAATAAATCTCTCTATTATGTACATACACATATGTATTAATTATTCCTGTAGAACTCAGAAAATATGTGTCTTTTTGGTTTAAATAGATAAACTCAAATCCAAAATTACACACAATAAATATTTACACCTCAATCTTATTAAATTAGCCGAACGTACAAGTAGCGTTAGACTTACAGTAACTCAGCTATTGCGTGAAACTACCGTTACTGACTTTAAGATAGGCGCAGGTGGTGAAACGGCTGCTGCAGCCGATGGTGATATTGAATGGGAAGGCGACGAAGAAGGCTGGCCCAGATGGGTCAATACTTGCAGTGGTTGATGGACGGCTGATGGAGCTTGATGCGGGTGAGTAGGCGGGCTGATGTGATGCAAAGCAGATAGTTGATGTTGCTGCTGGTGTTGATGTCTTTGATGCGCCGCAATGGCGGCAGCAGCTGCATGTTGTTGCAGGAGCTGTTGATATTGCAAACGCTGGTAAAGATCGGAGGTGGGCATAGAGGCGGCTGCTGCAGCTGCAGCCGCGGCAGCAGCCGGATGACTCTGAGGGGGAATGGCTGCGGCAGAGAGTAATCGCTCCATATTGCTATAGTTGGCAGCCGCCATGGCACTATTAACTCTGGCAGAGAAGGGCGAGGGAGGTAAAGTTGTATTCTTTGGCACAAAAGGATTGTATCTTCCATACATACTTGCTAGGAGACTCGGGTTAGTAGCACCAGAGGCTGTCGCTTGCTGAGGATATAGGAACTGATTGAATTGTGGATAACCTAGGCCGGTAAACATTGGCCCTATCAGAGAACGTTTGAATGCTGCTAGCCTTGACCTTGAGGCGGCGGTGGTGCGCCTTCTCAATTTACCCGTAGACCCCCCTATAAATACATCATCCGCAGAGGGGTCTAGCATCCAGTAATTGCCCTTGCCTGGGTCATCATAGTGACGGGGAACTTTGACAAAACATTTGTTTAAACTAAGATTGTGACGTATGGAGTTCTGCCACCCCTGTTTATTGTCTCTGTAGTAGGGAAAGTTAGTCATTATGTATTCATAGATGCCGTTAAGGGTTAAACGTTTTTCGGGACTTTGTCTAATGGCCATCATTATTAGCGCATTATAACTGTAGGGTGGCTTTTCATTGCCTTTCTTATCCGTTACCGGTTTCTCACTATTTTCATCTTTATTTTCCCCTTCATCCTCTATTCCTTCTCTATCGGCCTCTACATCTCCATCTAAATCCTCATCGTCATCCACTACATCGGGATCCAAACCAGCCTCGAGATCACTTTCAGTACCTTCATCGTCGTGGTGATGGTTGCGCACGTTATTCACTAAGCCTTCGGTGCTATTACTCAATTCACTACCGTCGGTAGGCGGTGGCGGTGACATGCTTGTCACATCCAAATCTGAGTCGGCATCTTGCCCATCAGTGTCGTCGCAGAGATTGAACGATGTGAGATCGTTTTGGTTTTGATGATGGGAGTGATGCTGATGATTCGGATTGTTGTCTTCCACAGTCTCCGGTAGTATGGAGTTAATGGAGAAACTTGATTTTAAGTGGGGAGTGCGAGCCATTTTATAAAATTGCTGCAAATGCTGATGGGTATCCAGCAACGCTTGATGGTGAGAATGCAATTGTTGCAGGTGAAGATCTTGTTGCTGCGGCTGCTGAAGTTGTTCCTGTGGCGGTGGTGAATGTAAATGAGTTATTTGAACTGAAGTTTGAATATGATCTGAAACTCTGTCAACACTACATGGATCGTCGATTTTAACCATGTTTTTCTCAAACTTTTAACACACACTTTTTATTTTAAAGCAATAAATTTTTCTTATTGAATTTTCTGATTTTATTCTTTGGGCTCATTCAATACTTTATTTTATTTAAATATAATTATTTTGTTAACTAAAACGTAACACTTTCATGTCGAAATGGCAGATTACTTGATCCCGATTTTATCGTCTTATACTCGATTCACGCAATTACAGCACTTATGTCCGTTCCGTAGTAATGATTATTGTAGACTAAAAATTTCTTGTTGTCAGAAAGACAAAGAGTATTTTATTACTAATCGTGGAGAGATTTTTTATTTATTTTTTTTCTTTACCTTTCTTTTATTTCATTTCAACCAACTGAATTAGTCTCGAACATCTGGTTTATCCAACCAAAACTACACTACTTCTTTCTCACTCTAACGCTCTCGTGAATGAGCAGCCAATCAAAATAGTGGAACTTGTGGTTTTTAACACATTTTTGTATTTAGGCAGCAGCAACCAATGATTCGAATGAAAACATAAACATTCTTATTCGCCACTTTTCCGCTACCGTAGTAGACGTAATTGTGTTTGTTTTGATAGTTATTGTTGTTTTACATTAAGTTAATGTTGTTCGACCACTCTCTTCATACGACACCCATGTTGGTTGGTATGAGTACTCTTCGTGTGCACACCTCGTCGCACTAATGTGCGAGAGTGCATGATAGAGATTTATTTTTGTTTTGTTTATTTCTGTTGGGTGTTGTATTAATGAAAACAACTGGTTTTTGTTGGGTGAACTCGAAAACAATCTGATAGTTGTTGTTTCTCATACAAAACGTGTTTTTTGCTCACTTTGTTTTGCTTTATTTTTTGCATGCAGATGTTTCTTTTATATCAAATACATGTACATACATCCATACATGCATCAGTAATTTAATTCTGTTCACTCCTCATATATTCGCCATATTACATCCAGGGCTGCCAGGTAAATTTGTAGAAATATCGGCAATTTTTTCCAAAAAAAAAGGCATTTATCGGCACTTACATTTTAAAAATCGGCAATTGAAAAAATCACTTTTGTACCAAAGAAAACTATCACAAATTAATACAAAAATCACAATAAATCACAGTAAACGATTAAAAGTCAGGCAAATTGTGCAATCTGTGCATGTTTCCATTCTCGCAATTGAATTGTCACAAATTACCTACTACCCTGTAAAATATTTTCAAATTTTGGTAATGAGTTATGTAGTTATTTCATACATTACTTGGCAATGAGTGGTCGTTATCAACGACATTAAAAAATTTGTTTCAATAGGATTTGTAACCATTGTCTAGAGTGTATGTCTAATAAGGAATTTGTTAATGGTTCTAATCCTAGTAGATAATATAAGTTTTTTTAAAAATATTGTTTTTACTCAACTTTTAGTCGAATTGAGTTTTTGGTGGCAAATATTTTATTTTGCACGTTTACCACAAATTATTGTAAATATGCTATCTCCAAGTATAATTTTTATTGAATGTTGGCAGATCTGGCAATGTACTGGCAATGAAAAATTGTTAGAAACAGGTACATAAATTGTCAGTTCAGACGGTTGTAAGAATACCTTACAATTTCAATTCCAAACAATAAATTTATCTGGCAACTAAATTGTTTGAAATTTGTTTAGCGTCGATTATTGTTATTGTTTTACAATATGCTTACATGTACAGTACTTTTCCGATTTAACGAACCTATATGTTGTCAGGCCTGTTCGTAAAATTGAAAAGTTCGTTATATGCAGTACTAACTAAAACGTGGGTTATTGGTAGGAAAATAATTAAAAATAGATAGGTACATAAAATATTTTTTAAATGTATTTTATAAAAATTAATTCTTTTTTTATAAAAATAGCACAAAACACAAAATTCCGAATCTTATATACCCACCTTCAAACCATATTTGTGTCGAATTTCATCGCTGTATTTTTAATTCAGTCATGAGCGTTAAAGTTATTTCTCGAAGTTCATCGCTATACTCGTATTTTTAAGCGAGTAATGAGCGTTAAAGTAATTTTCTTAAGGGGGCCTGATATGGTGGGTAAGGTCAATTATGGACCGATTCCCATAAAATTTGTTAGAGATTTCGGTTAGTATAGAACATGTTTGAATCGAATTTCATCGACGTACTCGTATTGTTAAGCGAGTAATGAGCGTTAAAGTCATTATCTGAAGGACGGACGGACATAGCTACATCGAACTAAAATTTAATAAGAACCCAGAATGTGTTACAGTTTTGGGTATAAAAGCACCGCTACAACTTAGGTTATTTGTTATTTTTGATAAATGTCATTTTATCTTCATTTAAATAATAATATTTTTATTAGTTCGTTAAACAGAGTACAAAAAACAAGTTTTGTTCGTTATTTAAGGTATTCAATAGGAAAAATTAGCTTGTTCGTTAAATGCGATGTTCGTAGAATTGAATGGTCGTTAAATCGGAAAACTACTGTATACATATCATAAGTAGATTCAGTTTGGTAATAAGTCAGTAAACAATCTCCTAAATGCTGACTGGGTATCCGTTCTATTTACTAGGTTTATAAACAAACATTAATTTGTATGCTTGAATGCATGTATGTATGTATATACAGCATGTTTCTATAAACCTACATACATACATACATACACACACACATACATCCATACATACATACATACATACATACATACATACATACATACATACATACATACATACATACATACATACATACATACATACATACATACATACATACATACATACATACATACATACATACATACATACATACATACATACAAACATACTAATTTGCAGTAGCACACACACATACATCCATACATACATACATACATACATACATACATACATACATACATACATACATACATACATACATACATACATACATACATACATACAAACATACTAATTTGCAGTAGCAGTAAGTGTAAATATTTTTGTTTGTTGATCCATAATTTGGAATATAGTTTGCAAACTCATGTTTCCTGGGTTTTCAACGCAAAAACATGTACAAATGCATACATGCACACAATGCTATACTAACACTACGAACAAGTACATTCGAAAATAATATGTAATTGTGGTGTTATGCTTGTATAGGGTGCTGGGCGGCTCAATTAATTGTTTTGTATAGTCGGCAAACAACATTCCCTCGGTTGATGATGTTTTTTGTGTCACTGTTTTAATTAATATTGATTAACAATGGTGAGCGTTATCTAAATAATTAATTATTGTTCTTTTTTTAGGTGCTTAAAATTTAACAAATATTTATGGGTTTTTTTTAACAAAAACTAGTACATACTTATATGGACGTAGTTTTGTTCTTTAATGCAAACCAAAGTATTTGTAAAGCTATATTCCTATACACGGTTGTTAAATCTTACAATGTTGTCAGAAAAATGTTCAGAAATGTGAACAATCGTGTGAACTTCCATTTTTTGTCTTGCTATTTTGTCAGAAGAAGCATTGACAGTACTTCGTGAAACGATAATATTGTCAGACATCTGACATTCGTGTAAACATATTACGTTGCCCTTACCAGGTCGGTTTATATTGTCAGATGTGCGAATTATATGCATCTGACAATGTGTTGTAAATTACTATTGTCTGATATGACAATTTATTGCAAAAAGCTGCAAAACCAAGTTCTATACTAGCCTTCATGACCCTCATGAATTTTATAATTATAGGGCCTCATTTGACCTTAGCCCGTAAATATGGCTTAAATGTCCAAAATTTTATTTAACAATAAATAGCATAAGTATATCTGACGCAAGGTACAACTCAACATAAATGCTTTATTATGAAAACTAAATCAAATTTTATGTTTGTAACTGATGTAAGGTATTATATAGCGGCCTCGCCAGACTAACATTTCTTACTTCTTTTTTTTTTTTTGGAACAAGCATTAAATTTGACATTGAATATTTTTAAAACATCTATCCGATTCTAATCGTTTTATTCCTACATATTTCTTGTAGTTTAACAATATTTTTGTTAAAATATTATCGTATTTTTATTCCTTCATATCGTAAACGGCACTAACTAACCTAAAATTCAAAATCTATTTTATTGTTGATTCTAATGTACATATTGCATCAAAACAAATGTCCGACCAAAATTATCGATTTTATTGACAAAAAAAGGCTCTATCTGCAAAAACATTTAAATGTTACAGGTAAAATGTGCAATTTATCCATTTTTATATACGCCATCGTCAACTATCATAACAAATGATAGGTAGGTTTCACTATTAAAAAATTTGTTTATTTACTACAAATAAATCGCATTGATAGTAACAAACTTTTCAATTAGTTTTTCAATAGTTTTTGCTTCTCCTGTAAAATGTTAGATAGAGCCGTTTGTGTTTTAAGTGACGATAAAAATGTTCTTATAGTGTTCTCAACAAAATATAAAAAATGGAACAATGAGGGGATTTCAATCAAATAAACTTTTAGTAAAATAATACACATTATTTCCATACAAATTTCAAAAATTTTATTTTTTTATAATAAAATTTTTGAAAGTTGTTCAATAACATGGTAAAAATTTTCACAATTATTTTACCTATTTGATAACGTGCATACCCACTAAACAATTTTTGCCGAATTCGTACCGACAGTCTGCACAAGTTGCCGATTTCGTATCCGAATTCCGTCAGAATTCGTTTCGATAATCGTATGAAAGGTTGCTCGGAGTTCGGAACTCTTTATCTGAGGAAATTCGGTTGTCGATCAGAATTCGATACGAAATATGATGTAAATTCCTGGGGAAATTCTGAAGGAATTTTAGACAAATCTGATTGAAGTCGGACAAATGTCTGATAGATGTCGGATAAATGTCTGATAAAATGTCCGACAGTTCGTACAAAAGTCTGATCAAGAATAAGAAAATGGCCTGACTATTCTGATCAGCGTCTAATGAAAACTATTTTCATATACATATATAATTTATTATGGTTTAATTTTAATAATAATCTATAAGCTTCCATTATTCATGACTTCTTAAGAGTACATAAATAAATAATAGAAACTTATAGATTATTTTTAAAATTAATAAAATTAAACCATACTACTTACATATTATATACGAAAATAGAGTTCAGTATATACATCTATTTAAAATTATAAAATTAAACCATAAAAATTTATGTAATTTTTTGCTAGTTTTTGTGTATTAACAAAGTTTAAAGAAA